AATTTTTCGTTTCTAACTACAATGTTTGTAACCGTCTCTCTAACATTGGGTAATGTAAGTTTCACACAATTTGTTTTTTTTCTCATTAAGAAGTAGGTTATTAAACAGCAAACCAATCAACTACTTTAGATATAGCATTGTTCACATCGTCGTAGGAACATTGATGCCTTTTAACTTTAAATAATAAGGAAGTATCATCAGCAGACAATACTATCTCATGTTTTATACCCTCTGTCAACGACATACAGTTTCTTTTTTGTTAAATACTTCTTTATTCCTTTGCAATTTATTTATTTTTGTTTCTTTTGTTTATTCATAATTGTTTTTCATTTTGGCATTTTCAGTACATTTTATATTTACAATACATTTTTTTATTTATAATTCAATATAAATCCTGCAGTCATTAAATAACGCGGATTCTTACATATTTATGGTGCCGAAACCCTTTTTTCTAAAATGGAAGGATATCAAACCTGCTCCAGCGACTCAAGCACGGTAAAGCACGCAGGCAAAGATCTTACAAGGTTAAACTTGAAGTCCTTGCGAATAACGCGAGGACAACATAAGAGGACGTTAACAAATTTGGAGAAATTTTTGGAATCTGCAGAGGTAGACAACGCCATGCTCGAAGTTCGGAGAAAGGTATTGGAAAAAACATTTCTAAACTTCCAAAATACTCAACATGATATTTTATGCATTGACGAGGGCGACGATGATAGCGATGAGTTTGAGCTGCATTATTGCAATTTGCTCGCTAAAATAGAAAAACTGTTGAAGAGCTGTAAAAGTTTCAAAACTGGGAACCACAGCGCCTCTCCTTTTGCAACATCAAGCCATTTGAAACTTCCACGCATAGAAATAACTACTTTCGATGGTAAATTAGAAAACTACCGCTCATTTCAAGACTTGTTTGATTCGCTAATTCATCAAGATCCAAATCTGTCAAACATACAAAAGTTATATTATTTAAAACAATATTTGAAGGGAGAGCCTTTGGAAATTATCAATAATTTGCCACTCACAAATGATTCGTACATTTCTGCGCTGGAATTACTTAAGAAAAGATACGATAACCCTTCTATTCTAATTGCAAAGCATATTAATACCATATTGGATCTTCCCACTATACATCGTGGTTCCGCAGATCAATTAAGATCCATGACAGTAAAGATTAGACAACAAATAATGGCTCTACAAAATTTAAAACAACCAGTTGATCAATGGAGTTCGATTTTATTTTGTATTGCATGCAGGAAGATTGATACACTTACATTACGACTTTACCACTCAGAAAGCTCAAGCGACAAGCTTCCCAACATTACCGATTTGCTCGATTTCATTGATAAAAGAGCTAGTTCATTAGAAGCAAGCCCTTCAACATCGAAACCTAAGGTAGTGAACGTATCAAACGAAGTAAAAAAGGTGTACAACTGCATTACATGTTCCAAGGACCACAAGCTTTACAAATGTCCTAATTGATGTCGCCGGCAAAAAGACTTCAGTTGATAACTAACAAAAAACTTTGCAAGATATGTCTGAATTCTCATGAAAAACCATGTCGATACAAGTTCAAATTCACAGTTTGCAATCAAGACCACAATGCGCTGATTCATATCAATGAGGAGAGTAACTCTAATCAAGTTTTACATTCTATCAAATCAAGTGAACACACTTGCCTACTGCCAAGGTTCTGGTCACAGATGTTCACAGCAACAAGTACATTGTGCGCGCTTTACTTGATTCGGGAAGTCAAACTTCCTTTTATACAAAGCGCTTAGCTTCCAAGCTAGGTGTTTCCACGTTTGATTTTTCTAAAAACATTGTTACATTAGGAGACAATGTAAAAAAGGTTGACAAAGGAGTTAATTTACAATTACATTCAATTACAGAAAACTTCAATGTCAATATTACATGTTCCATTGTGGACAAAATTACAATTAACTTGCCACAAAACAATTTTGACATTTCAAATTTTACAATTCCAAGCTTTGTCAAACTTGCTGATAAAGGTTACAGTAAGTAAGGTTCCAGGGGAGATTTCACTTCTTTTGGCTGCCGATATCTTCTTCAGAGTTTTGAAGGATGGAAAGGTAGAAGGCGCTCCCAACGAACCAATTTTAATTAATACTCATCTTGGATACATCGTTTCCGGTAATGTGCTACCTTCAATTAACTTTTTCACTTCAATGCATTCAGAGGAAAGTATTTCTGATCAAGATTTTTATGTTAGGAAGTTGTGGGAGACTGAAAGCGTGCCAGAAGTTTTTGTTGAATGTTTACCGGAACATGATTATAGCGAAATGATTTTTAAAGAATCAGTAAAATTACACAATAAAAGATTTGAAGTTCGCATGCCACGAAAATGTGCCTTAAATGATTACGATTTATCGGATTTATTTTTAATTTCCTTACAACGTTTTTACAATTTGGAAAAACGTTTCGATAAAGATCCTGAGTACCACTCATTATATGTAGATTTCATCAATGAATATTTGACATTAGGACACGCTAAAATAATTGATATGGATAATTGTTTACCGGAAAACAGACCAATTTATTTTCTTCCACATCATGGCGTGCTTCGTCCCGAAAGATTAACGACAAAGCTACGAGTTGTATTTGATGGGAGCGCAAGGTCCGGTAAATGTCCATCTCTAAACAATATTCTTTGCAATGGACCAGTCGTTCAGAGATGAAATTAACGTGGATTAATGAGGAAATAATAAAGCACGGCACGTATCACATAGACATAGTTTTTTATTTTATTGTCAACAGTTTCTCATTGCTATGACAACCAATTCAAATCTTATGGAACTAGATTATAATAGCCAGTATCTCCAACACGCCCCTTTAATCTAGTACACAAAACATTTCAACATAAGCAATACAACATTAATAAAA